AGCGAAACATTGAGGTGAAAATGATGTAATGTACCAGCTCTGTCGTCTTACCCTATTACTCCTATCTACAACCTTGATTCCCCGCAACTCGTTGATAACATATCTGCATCGCAATAAAATGCAAATGACATCAACAAACCAATAAGCTAAAAAGGATAAAATAGCATTAAGCAGTGACGATTACATCCTCAGCGAACACATGCCAAACTAAAAGAAGAATGAAGTGATATCATCCACATTCGGCACCTATGTCCAAACCATTGATCGCACAAGCATCATCACCGAGCCGCCCTCGTTTCCACGGCTCGTTCGATTCATCGACCTGGCTCGACAACACCTCAATTTGCTAAAAAGCAGCATTTCTCGAGATTACATCCCACACGCTCGATCGAGCACCGAAAATTTCTAAGCCAAACTAAAAGAAGAAGAACGAAGCGATATCAACCACATCCAGCACCTATGTCCACACCACTGATCGCACAAGCGTCGCCACCGAGCCGCCCTCGTTTCCGCGACTCGTTCGATTCATCGAACTGGCTCGACGACACCTCAATTCGCTAAGAAGCGGCATTTCTCGAGATCACATCCCACGCTCGATCGAGCACCGAGAAATTTTCTAAACCGCCAAAAAAAAAGCAATCGAACAAGCAGCAGCACAAACGATCCACCATCGACGGCAAGCAATGCGCGAGTTTTCCTAAAGTTTCCCCCCACCCCCGAACGGGAGAGAGATTTCCGGAAAGGACGGACTCACTTGAAGTACTGAGGAGAGAAGCGATCGATCGATCGCCAGAGCGACCGCCACATGGCCGCGACCCTGGGTCGTTCCCGCCAGAAGCGACGGATCTCGGCGGCGGCGGACGGAGAATCCGGCGGAGGCGGAGGAGAGCGGGGGAGCGGAGAAGCCGGCGGCGGTGATCCACCGGTCAAGCAATGGAATAAAGTGAGAGAGAGAAGTTATGGGTGGATCGCGCGCGGAGACGGGGGTTGGTTTGGCCGTTTGGTGGCTGCTTCTTGGTGACGACGGGGTTGAAAAACTCGGAGGGAGGCTTCGACAACGAACTTTCAACGTGCCCCGGGCCGTCGGGTCCCGCTATTCGGAGCCCCGCCGACCCGGCCCGGCCGTCGCTGATGCTGGTCCCACGGCCGGCCGCGGCCCCCACGCTGGGGGCTGGGCTAGCCTGGGCCCCGCCAAGTTCGACCCCCTGAGCTATCTCGACCGAGGAATTGTAGCGGCTGTAATTGTTAGCGATGCACCGAATTCTTCCGATCGATATCGTGGGGTCGCTCGAAGTTGGGTTTCGATCTTTGAGCGTATTGATTTCTTTTTCGTAATTTTGTGTACTTTACCGTCGTTCTCGAACCGACTCTCGAAGCGGAGAGAACGATGTTCTGTGCGTCCTCTAGAAGGCCATAAGGTACTGAGGAGCAGACATTTGATGTCACGCCAACTTTTTTAAGGACGAGACAATGCAAAAAAGGATATTTTTACAAATGTGAAAAGAAAAGACAAAGGAAGGAAGGATCCGAACCATCCTCAGTCATCCGTGATCGAGGGATTAAGCCACCCTCGTCGTCAAATGGTTTGTATTTTTTTTTTCCTTTTTTGCTAAAACAAATGGTTTGTTGCTACATTGGTAAGGACATGCGAGCCCTCACGTAAACAATGACGACGGCTAGGGCCCTTAGGCTCGTGAACCTCGTTGAGTCTAATCGAGTTTATATTATCTTGTTAGAAATCATTTATTATCAAGAAAAACACGCGAGTCATTAAAGTTATATATTTAACCCCCGTACACATAATTGTAGGAATGTACGGTCTTGTCGAGTTTCAAGCTGAGCTCCAGCTTGGCTCTGTATTGATTCAAGTTGGTTCAATTACCGTCGAACCAAATCCACAGTTCCTTCGAACATCTTATTAATACATACGCATATCATACGGTCTTTTTTTGTGCCCTTTTTCACTTACAAATATGCAATGTTTGACATAATTGTTTGTTAATTTTAATTTATCTTTTCTCAGCGAAATTCTATATATGCGATTTGTCAGATGCTCACCATGCGTTTCCATCTTGCGCACATGAATGCCGTGGGGATATATTAACACCAATTGAAATTACAAATCTATTCGTACGTCCATTTCATATGGTACATGATTTTTAATCTAAATATGTCGGACCGGACGTAGCACTATGCATGAAGTCAAGTGTAACGCCTACTACATACACGTACAGTAATTGTCGCACCGGCTATGGGCCTTCAAAGCCCACTTCAGCAAGGCCTTAACTTTTTTTCCGTACCAGAGGCCCAATTAGCGGCTCGAACTGGCCGGGCCTAGAGGGAATTTTGCCCCGGCCCAAATAAAGGAGAAGAAAAAACCAAATTACTCGGTTCGATATAAAGTCCGAATTATTTACTCTCTTTTTTTAAGGATTAATACCACGAAAAAATCCTATATTGGCACACTTGTGACCAATTTACCCCAAACTAATATTTTGACCCCCAAAAAATCTCAAACTGGTACACCTGTGACAAGTTACCCTCCATTAGTTTCCGTTACACTTTACTGCCAAATTGTTAAGTTGGATGATACATGATAGCTGACGAGTGTAGCGGTTTGGGGTTTTACCCTCCGTTTTTCACAGTTTTACCGGTCTGTGATTTTTCGTGGTATTAATCCAAGTTAACGAAAACTAATGGAGGATAAATTTGTCACAAATGTACCAGTTTGGAGTTCTTGATGGTCAAAAAATTAATATGGAGTAAATTTGCCACATGTGTACTAGTTTGAGATTTTTCACGGCATTAACCCTTTTTAAAAAATATTGTCATTAATAATAAATTACGAAAAATACTTAAAGTATTGATCCATTCAAAGAAAATGAGAAAAATTAAATTCCCGCATTTCGATTTCGATAGTTACCAATCATAGGCCACGAGGTCTACGGGCCCCCCAGCCCGCCCACCAAATAAGCGGGCTCGGTCGAGGAAATAGGCGCGTCTCAGCGGGCCGGGATAAAATTTCTAGGCCTCGGGCCCGGCCCGCCATGCCCGGGTAGCTTTAGGAAAAAAAATAATAATAAAGCATTCCGAGTTTCATGAATACCTTCATGTATAAGTAGTTGTTTGGTTTCTCTAACCAAAAAAGCAAAAGAGCAAAAACAGACAAAAGAGTACCCGTCAAAGACCAAAGACGAACACCATCATTCGAACGAGTGAGTCACCCTCGTCTTATGCCGTCCCGAGAGGACTCCTCCGCAACTTTTCTTCCTTCGCTCCGCCAATCGTGTCTCTCTCCCATTGCTTCCACCTTCCTTGACTCGGCGCTCGGCCATCGCTAGCAAGAAAGCTCCCCCCCGTAAAAGTCTTCGGGTTCACCGTGCACGCAACGCTGGAAAGACCCCGTTTTTTCTCGGTCTTCTTTCCAAGTAGCAACCCCCGTCGCGCCGTAACCGTTCGATTCGAGTGGAATTCGAACCGTTCGAGAGAGAGAAAAAAAAAAAAGCACAAATTCCCCCGGTTCATGGGACGCGTGGGACGAACCGATTGTGACGGTTGATGGTCAAGACGGTACATCTTCCTATTTCCCGAGAGCGCGAGGGCCCGACGAAGGATGACCCGGACAACCCCCCCCCCTACATTGTCCAAATGCCCCACGCTGTTTTTGGAAGCTCCGATAATGGCCGGCGATAGAGGGAGATTCCAAAGTGCAATTGGGAAAGCCATGTGGGGATGACTCATCATCCCCCTTCTTGTTCTTCTTTATTCAACCCCCCTCCCCTCCCCTCCCCCTCCTTGTCCTCTCCAAAACTCGATAACATAACTTATGAGCGCCATCCGGCCCATCTCCATCGTACCTAACGTTGGTTTCTTTACATGGAAGTCCTATCATTCTCGGAAAGGTAAAAAATTAAGGTCCTTAGGTCGAGAGAATCCGCCATGAAAAGTAATAAAAAGTAATAAAGATTGTTGGGTCGTTGCGGAATCCATTAAAAGAATCGAATGACTTTCATCTTCTATGCTTTTCTTTGGCCGGAGCCGGTTAAAGAAAGGATACCTTTACCACCTTTTTATCATGATGATTAGATCTTTCCATTGGAGCTTTGCTTCCATCAGAAGCCTCGAAGCCATGCTTTCCATTGGCGGCCCTTTTTCTTTCCTTAATCATTGCTTTACTTTGTCCATGGACAAACTCTCTCTATCTCTCTCTCTCTCTCTCCTGCTGTAGGATTCTTTGCTTCCATCATCTTGGCTTACCCATATAAAAATGATCATGAGATTTGGTATCTAAGTACGCATTCTGCATGAAATTGTTCTCGTAAATGATGTCTAATGGGACTCGAGGTGCGGGTGTGTACACATATGCGAATGTGCGTTTGCTCTATCGTAGCAACAACATTCACAGACTTGAAAAAAAGTCACGAAAAACGCAAAGTCCGGATAAAACCGAATAAAGAAAACGAAGTGCATTGCGAATCGGGATCCGTCGAATATCGTCCGAATAATGACCACGAGTCATGCTTGTTTTTCAGTTTACAACAATGTTTAGCCTTCTCGATACGACAATTGACTCTTTTAGAAACGACGAGGAATTGAACTATGGTACACTTTGCATTTCGTGTTATAGTTTTCGAGTTGAATTACACTTTTTTGCACACCAACAATGATTATAAGACCTATTTAATTCATAACTTATAAGCATTTCAATTTTTTGCACATGAGAATAGAATCCAATGATAATTCGACACATTCATGGGTGACAATGAATCGAAATTAAATTCGGGTACGCTTCAAATTTCGTGTTTATCTTCGATGTCGAGTTGAATTATGTTTGTCTACGACAGACTCGAGTCTTTTTTATGAGATACCATTCATATCTTTATGTTTCCAAACCCAAAAGAACCTAAAATGTGATCTGAGTTTGGCCTCACCTAAAAGTTTGATCTCATTCATAAACAACATGTGACCTAAAAGCACATTAAATTTCCAACAGCTCCAAATTGGTGAAGAAGAAGACGAAATGGGGCGGCCACATGGTGTGGTCCAGCCACTATAAACCATATGCTCTTTTCCATGTATCATCGTCAGCAATCCAAAGTGCACACCAAAATTAAATACTTTGATCAAACTCATAATTTAATTTCTCCTATGTAAAGCTTATACTAGATATTCGTAAATTCGTCGATATATGACACTGTCGACCCTGACTGTCGATGCTGCCGTAGCCACCGTGCCGGTAGCCCCTCTCCCCCGGGCCGCGGACGCCGCAGGACTTTGCCCGCCGCCGCCTTGTCGTCATGTTGTTATTTCTATATATACTCTATGGCACATTATTCCGGAAAAAAATTGAAAATTTAAGAGGAGATTTATGGATTTCACTCGACTTTGCAACTCTGTTTTTTGAACCCAAACCTCTCGTTCTCCAAATCGTACTCGACGTAGAAATTCTGCTGCTGGAAGCTGCCCAATATGACCGCCGGACCGCCGCTCACCTCCGGGCTGATCGCGGCGTCGTCCGTCACGATCGCCACGCACACCACACCCGAGCCCTCCCCCACTAGCACCACGTAGTTCTCCAGCGGCAGGGCCATCCTCGCCCCGCCCTTGAACTGCAGCGACAGCTCCGGCATCGCCACCTCGTGACCCTGCCCCGACACGTTAAAGCACGGGCTCAGCCCGATGCTCGACTCGGCCCCCTTGGCCCGGCTGTAGTTTGCCATCTGCCGCTCGAGCTCCTCGGCCACCGCATTGAACACGGGCCGCTCCATGAACGTGAACGTTGAGCCCGAGTCCACGATGGCCCCGCCGTTCCCGTCGGCGCCCGGGATGAGGTACCTGTGCGGGACCTTCACGGCCTTCCCGCCGACGAGGACCTTGCGGAGGCCGACGTAGTAGTAGTCCTTGAAGGCAGAGCCCGGGAGGCCTGGGTTGGCCCGGAACGGCGTGTAGACGACCCCGTCGGTCTTGCGGTCACCGCCCGAGCCCGAGCCCGAGCCCGAGCCCGAGCCCGAGCCCGGCCCGGGTTCGAGGATGAGGTCGCTGCTGGCGGAGGTGTCGTCGAAGCGGCGGGACAGGAGGCAGTAGGAGAACCTCCGGAGGCCCATCTGGGAGGGGAGCGACTCCGGGCCGCGGCCGAACCCGGCAATGCCCGCGGGCTGCCGGGTCGAGAACACGGAGCAACCGACGAGGAAGCCCGGCACCTTCCGGTGCTTAGAGAAGGAGAGCGTCTCGGAGAGCAAGACGCCGGCGGTGTTGCCGGAGCCGTACTGGATGAGGTAAGGCGGGCAGGTCTGCTGGGAGCAGTTGCGGCCGGAGGCGCATTCGTCGCGGCAGCGGGAGGCGGCGGTGGGGCCGAAGACCCAGGCGCATTTGGGGTTGCGGCAGCCGACGAGCTTGGCGGAGGAGGAGAGCTTGGGGATGAAGCGGCGGATCTTGGAGGGGTCGGAATTGGGGAAGGAGCAGGAGGCGCAGGCGTAGTGGGAGGTGCAGGGGAACCAGAGGAGGCTGCTTCCGGTGTCCATGACGAAGGCGAGGGTCTGGGCCGGCGTGCCGAAGCCTAGATCTATGGAGTAGCCGCCGTAGCTGCGGGGGAAGGTCGGGACTTTGATGGGGGTGGGGGAGGGGGAGGATGCATTGTGTTTCTTGAGGTGGCGGGCGCGGGTGAGGGAGGAGGCGGCGAGGAGGTTCAGCATTTGGGATTGCCATGACGAATTGCCGTCGGAGGCGGCGGCGGAGGAGGAGGATTGGGGGTGGTCGGGGAGGAATGGAGTGAGAGAGAGTGTGATGGTGGTGTCGGCGGCGGCGGCGGCGGCGGGGGTGGTTGAAGAAGAAGATAAGGTGAGGAGAGAGAAGAGGAAGGAGACGAAGAGCAGGGGAGGAGGAGGAGGAGGAAGAAGGCGAGCCATCATCTCTCTCTGTTTTTTTGTTTTTCTGAATGGAGAGCAGAGCGAGCGAGGGAATGAGTGGAGGTCGTGAACGAAGTGGTGGGGTGGGGGGGGTTATATCTCTTTTCCCTGCGTGACTCTGCGTTTCTTCTGCTTCTGTTGCGGGATGAGAGAAAGGTCAAAAGCGACAACGGTTCGCAGGGAAAGGATGAGGAATCATGTTCGATTTCGGTGCTGTAATGTCCCCCAAATGTCCTTTGCAGGTGCCTTCGCACGGCCCTCGTGTTAAGACCGAGTTACCAAATCGACGTACGAACGGACACGACGGGGCTTTAAGGAGCTTGTCGAGGCACGGCTTCACCCACGATCCCCCTCCACCCCTTCCCACACCCATTTTGCAGATCGATGATGATCGACGCATACCTAGTTGTGCCATTGCCCCCACAAGTGAATGTAAAAAGGCTAAAACCAAACTTGCTTTAGGGTACTTGAATTGAAGGGAAGCCGTCCCGAATTAGAACTGCGACATACACGAGAATCGCAATCTCTCGGGATCGCTTAGCTGTACCTAAGGCTAAGAGAAGCTATATAGTTCATCAATCCCCAACAGGTTATTTACAATGTGTGCCCCTAATTTAAAGAGGCCCTAAAAACCGCCGAAAATACCTTAGACCAGATCAGCTGTGCCCGGGCACGTAGAACCAGAAAAGTCTACATTAGCCGTTGGCGTTGAGTGACGTTGGCCTTAGCAGCAGTACTCGCCATTCATTCACTGCTAATGACCCCACCACCAGCCCTTCCCAACTCAGAGCGGTCAATTTTTTGTCCCAACGTGCGTCGCGTCGTGCTGGCTTTTCGTCTTTTGCTCCATCGGTCCAGCTTCTCCCGGACACGGGCCGAAAGCTTGTATTCTACGTGGCTGTTACAGTTTCGTTTGTTTTGGTGTTTCTTGGAACGAACGGATGGACCACGCCCGCGATGTTCGAGGGTCTCGTCTCGTCTCACATCGGTCCGACGGACGGTGACAGTTGCGTCTGACCGACGGACCCGAATCACGAAATTGTCGAGGTAGGGAGCGTCGAAGCCGGACCACGCGAGCTTTGAGTTGGCAGTGCATTCGTCGTGGGTGCGGTTTGATTTGGGAAGAAGGCAAAAGAGCATCGACAGGGAAACACGTGAAGGAAGGGGGACGGGGCTCATGCTCAAACGCCTTGTATTTGCCCGTTGCGCATCGTTCTCATCCTCGGTAATAACTCGGATCGACTCAAGTTGACTCTCCACCACACATGCACGGTGCTTCAACAGCTGAAGCTTAGGGTTGTTCTTCCTCGTGTTTCCCTCGCGGTTCTGTTCTTGTTGCCTGCTAAAAGGCCATTAATCCCGTGATTTCTCCGGCAAGTAGTCGCGTTTTAGCTACGACCATTGGAAAAATCTTGCGAATCATAGAACACGATACGAGCATTTAGCGCCTGGCATCCCGGAGAAACCGATACGTTCCGCCGCTAGATCCTCATGGATCCAGGGTCTGCGGCATTTGGGACTTAAAAGAGTCGTCCAAACTAGTCGCCACCTCCATTATCCATTCCACAAGGAACTTCAATATTATCTTCACATGTTCCATCACAGCATTGTCAGTTTATGCAGTAGAAGACACCGTGAACAGCGGCGTATGATCGACGATAGCTCTTTCCTCACGACTGCTAGCCCCAGAAGAAGAGTTTGATAACGTTCCATGTAATTTGAAATACCGGTAAGATGTCAACCACGTACCCTAATTCATGCATTTCCAGACCATAATAACTTAAAGAGTTCCAAGAAACAGTGAATTACAGCATAAACAAAGGAAACAATTAGACCTGAGGAAAAAGGATAAATTTACTATACTAGCGCCCAGCTCGGGAAACAGAACCAAGTCTGGTACAACACATTCTCGCCGACGCTGCTCAAAATTCACCTACAAAGAGTACGACATATAGCAAAACTCTTTTGCAGTTCCCCCACTAGGCCATTACCATGGAAAGGAGGTCTTTGCGACAACCGCTTACTACGCGGGGAAGTACTCTTTGCTGAGCTTAGGAACCGGTTTCATGGACTCCTCTTAAGCTTCCAACCAACTGGGCCGACTTCATCGCGGTTTTCTTGCACATACTGCGAGGCCTGTATAATGCCAATAACAGAAAAAAAAATTCCTCTGTCAAAATCTCACACACAAACACAGAGCACTCATCGACACAAAAACAATATCGTCACCTGCAGGGTTCTCGGTGTCTCATCAACACTACCCAATTGCCAGATTGTTGGTGGCGGAGTGTTGGATGGCTCTCTCCTCGTCAATGATGCACAGAACCCTCAGTGCTACTCCCTGACATGATTTAAGGGGAATGAGAGATTTCGCAGTCGCAAATTGCCCCAGAACTGTGCATACTGGGCATATGCATCAGTAAGAATCATACAAGCGCGAGCAGACCATAGTGTGACATCAAAATGATCCATCACGGCAACTGATAGCGTGATAATCATAAAACCAACCAAAGAGAACGACCCTGTGGTGCAGTCAAATTTCTACTTATAACTGAAAAGATCCAAAAGGTCCACGACCAAATGCATGCACCATAAGAACAACATCAGACCAACCACGAGCATTGACAAGAAAAAACATTCTCGCTCTTGCATTTACCTATTAATGGGAAAACTTGAATGTCTGTGACTTTTAAGTCACTGGAAGTGCATAAGCTCGTTCAATCTTATCCAAATCTTCCCTAACTTATTGTCTGGTGGTTCAGAATCCTCACATCATCTGTTGCTTCAACTCGACAGAGAGCTAAGCCCCAAATAAATGATCGCTACATAATCCTCTTATTAAAACACATGAATGAGCCGAGATGCAAGCAAGCGTGGCTGCAGTAACTTGTGTTCATGCATACTAGATGAGATGACGCATAAGCCACTACGAACTGAAGGTCTAAGGTAGCTTAAGAGACCAGGACGAGGATTTAATTAGTTGAGACTGTACTAGCACATGTATATGTCCCGGGGATGAGCACATGTATAAGTTCAGCAATAGACATTATGTCGATGCATGCTTCAAAGAGATATACATAAGATGATTCGACATAAAGTCCGACTACCAAACCAAATCTATGCTGAAAACCGAAATCATAGCTACAAATGCGTTCGCCATACGATTCATACCTGATTGGGAATCAGCACACAATGAGATTTTGAAATTGACTGTCACATCAGAATTGAGAGAATACTTGATATCACCAAGCCCAGCTGACTCTCGATCAGTTTAAACCCGTGCAAGTGGGAGAGCTGCATGCATGTTGGCACAAGAGCCATCAGAAAATTCCAGACTTGAGCCAAAAACTGAATTATCAAACGAAAGACGCACTTGCTGCTTCAAGGACATTGGTAAACATCGAATCTAGCATTGAAACTTTTACAGGTGGAACTCAATAATTGTTCGAGAAAATCACAAAAAGAAGCTAGCCAAAAAGGCTTTGGAACACTATATAGTCAATCCATGATATGGTGTTTGCATAAACAATGTACCGGAGAAAAGGTTAACATTGCCGAACGAAATGTGCACGCTTCATAACAATATGCAGCAACACACATCAGTCCCTATGATGGATAGCTAATGGTTTAAGATTCAGTAAAATCTAGACAAAATGTCAATCATATATTGATTGCTGACCGCTGAGAAAGAAAGAAGATCCTTTTAATATGTAAAGACGTACTGCATTCAACTCGAATCAACCATGCATAAGATATGTTACTGTTTGGAATGACTTTTTGCTTACGGTTATGCTTTTTGTGTTCGATAATTGACTTTTATTCAATACATAGATATAACATTCAGAGTCATTTAAAGCAATGTGAAATTTCTTTTATAATTAAAACGATGTATTTGACATAAGCTGACACATACAGATCTTAGCACGCACTAGCAGCATAGTAGCGGGAAAATGATAATCCAGCTTTTGCAAGTTTGGCAGCTAAATGACATAAGGAAGAATGATACTCAGCGCGCTATCTATCGAAACACCCAATACCTCTATGTCCAACGTCTCAAGCACAGCATATCGGTCACTAATAGCAGTGATCTCTAGAAAATTAGAGAAGAAGAATTAGGTATAGAACTAACCCAAAGTCGGCCAATGTTTGAGTTTTCTTTTCTAATTGTTTTGTTTGGAGCAAACCTGTGGGACAAACGAAAGGGAAGTCCAAAGGGTAAAAGGAACGAATCGAATACTTCTTCCCGATGCATTCAGAGAGCTTGACCTGGTATGTACAGTTTGAGATGGAAATAAATAATTGTGCAATCTGGTACTTTGTGGAGCCTTTTGGTGTATCGTTAAAACCAGAAATCCCAAACTAAAGAACCTAAAAAAGAACTAGCTAATGTGACACGGAGAGTACTAACTCTCTCAATAATTTGACTGTCGATATTAAGCACGCTAAACTCGGAGTGGCACTCGTTGCCCAAAAACTTAAAATGGCAATCAAAATCTAAACGACAGCATACTGGCAAAGCATACCTTGACGAACTCCTGATCATAAACAGCCTCTGCCTCAAAATCCAGTGCTGCATTCACCACAAGCGGAAGCTCACTCTGAACAGAGATTTGCCTGGTATGAGATATAGGATATCAACAGAAAATGAAAAACTCCCCCGGTGACTTTCAAAAGAAGAACCATACAAGAACAGCTGCAAAGTTGCCTTTTGAATTAGATTTTTCTGTAACAAACTGACAAGTCATTGTGATTAGCCTGTAAACCTGATTGCAGCATGCCGCTCCACAGCTACCCCGAAAAAAACAGCAGCCGTATTCATGCATGCAGCTATCCGAATTTCATACTTGATTTTCGTAATCCTTCAACAGGACTTTGATCGTAGCTTATCGTAATCAGCTCAACAGAGAAATGAAAGCTTCAAGATGCATCTATAAGTCATTGCAGATAGAGTTGGATCGACCACATTGACAAAACATCCAAGGAGAATACATCCATTCACAATCTGAGTGTCTGATATCAAGTGGCAAGATTTGACAGTGCGAGTCCTACTCATCTAGAAAATCAGCTCCA